TCCTCATCTTACAACAACTTTTAAAATTTATCTTGGGGTAAGATATAGCAATGGTACTCAATGTTAGCTCCTCTTAGCAGTTTGATCGCTAACCTGTGTTCTTCAGCATTTTTGGTGTAAATTCTTATAGAGTCATTTACTGTATGGGGTGTAAATTCGATATTATTTTCCCTGAAAATGCACCTGGTTTTACTCCAGTCCTTACTGTCTACTTTAATTGTGATGTGTGGGATTTTATTCTTTTTAGTGAAGTCACCTTCCGTGGTTTGTTGATTATCAGGAACTGTTTGAATTGTAGGTTGTTCTTTACTGTTTGTATCCATTAAATTGTTATCAGTTCCAATGCTAGCCATGTTATTACAATTGTTTTCTTCATGCGTAGTACTAGCAGCACGAGACTTTCATGTTTGTCGTGATATTTGTATTAATTTTTACTTGCACCTTAGTTGCTGAGGGCAGCTCAGGTATGTTAGTCATCTCAGTTATATTATCGATTTTTTGCTTTTTATACAAATTCTTATTATTAATCCTGGTCCTAACTGCTTTGTCCCCTTGGCGTTGGGCATAGAACTCATCGTCTGAACTTGTGTCTTTGTCTAAGGTTATTTCATCCCCAGAACAATTAACATCTATGTTAATAGGGCTTGTACATCTTTTGCTGTTGCTACTAACCTCAATAGTGCGAATGCTCGGTACTTTATCATCCTGTTTTATTTATATGAGCACATGGCTCAGCTAAATTATGTGTTTGCTCTTTTAGGTTATTATTAGCCTCAGTGTCTAAGTCCTTGAATTCAGCGTCGTATGTACTAAGCATGAGTTGGAAAAACTTAAGTTCCTTAAGCTTTCTCGCGTCTAATTCATCTAATTTTTCCTTGCATTCGTACTCAATAATGAGTTGCCGTAAAATCGCATCTATCCTGTCCATGATCGCAAAAAGTCAAGGAACTGTCCAAATCTAGCACCCAAATAAACGCATGCAAACCTGCGCCCCGGAACCGGGCCCACTCGACGGTGTTCCAGCAGACATGCATTCCTAGCAGTAAATGGGTACTTAAATTGTCCTTCATTGCAAATCAAATGTGGTGCTTTCAGTGTTTAGCCCACACCAAAATAGCTTCTCAGGGCAATCTCTGGTGTGCTTTTTTGCTTTGTGGCGAGTCACAAAACTCAAAATTGTACTGCTGAGCCACTATGTACAAATTGCAACGGAGATCCTGACCAAACTGAGAAACCGAGAGATCCAAGCAACAGAAGTTACCGCCTTTTTTTTTCCCCCCAGATGTAGCATGATAATATTAAAATCATTTAAATGTGGAAAATATATACCATTACTTACTAATGTATTTTCTCCCTTTTTTACTAATTTCATTGTATGAAAATTGAGAGGGGTTAGAATTAAGCAAATAATTTAATTTCTGAAGGTGAGGTTCCAGTGGGAATATAAAAATGAAAAGCATTCATGGATAAGCTATCTGTAACAGTCACAATATTCTTTATCTAATAGAAACTTTCATTCGACTAGAATGCATAGTTATATTTATATAGGCATATCTAATCAGATATCTTCATTTCTACTACTCTGTATCTTGAATCTCGCCGTTTGTTATTGTTTGCTGTTACTCCTTAGGCCTCAAATTATTCAGTGCTGCTGGAACTGCTGTCTGTGTTGTGTCGTACAGCTTGCTAGTTGTCACTGTTATCCTTTCCATCACCACTCAAACTATTTTCCTATGTCTACTGATTTTCAGAACAGCAGATATTCATGTTTTCTTGAAAATCTTCATGATTATTGCTTCATCTGTCAAAGCCCATACATGCAATATCCACAGGCAAAATAATTAGTGAGATGAAAACAGCCATATTTTATAATTTAGGAGAGCTGACTTTTTGAATGGTTTGAAAAGGGGAAATTGCATGGAAATTTTTAGCTTTGAGAATTTTGTGCCAAATAGGTTAGGGAGAAAAATATATGAAGAGGGAAATACACAAGTAAATATGGCATGTAGCATTTATAAGAGCAATTATAAAATGATAGAAGTATTTGAAACTTGCAGATTTACGAGTGTTGGAACTTTAATAGTGGCAACACAGCTGAAAAAACCCTACGCAACAAAACCAAAGAATATCGCGTATACCACACGTGAACTACATACCTACATTACCTCTCAGCAAAAAGACTCTCCTGCCTACGTCACGCGCATGCGGAGTGACGCGAAGAAGGGATCCTTGTATTAGCTCGTTTTCTAAAGTAAGTGTTGTCAGGATGTTTTCAAAACAAGAACAACGATGTTGGATAAAAATTGAATGTGCCAGAGGTCGTACAGCATGACAGTGTCATCAAGGGCTTCAAGAGGCTTGCAGGGAATCTGCATTGCCTTACAAAACCAAAGCAAGATGAGTGAAAGCATTCAATGAAGGACGTTAAAACGTGGCAGACATGCTGCGGCCAGGTCGTCCGAGTGTCAGCGATGCAGACGTGCAAGCTGTTGCCGCACTAATGGACAGTGATCGTCGCCAAACGATTCGTCATCTGGCCGGACAAACAGGATTAGCGCATACGACTGTGCTGCACATTCTGAAGAAATGCCTGTCCATGAGAAAAATTGCTTCATAATGGGTTCCACATCAGTTGACGGAAATGGCTACGATACGATGCTGCCCGAACCCACCTGGAGAGCTATGAGCGCGAAGGAGATGCTTTTTTACGCCGTATCATTACGCTTTATGAGACATGGGCCCGATCATACCAGCCAGAACTGAAACGCCAATCAAACGAATGGCGTCATCGCGGGTCACCACAACGTTCGAAATTTCGTCAGAACCCCAGCAATGTGAAAGTTATGGTGATTCTCGTATACGACTGTGATGGTGTCATCCTAACGCATACCGTTCCCCCACAGCAGATCGTCACTGCTCAGTATTACTGCTCATTTTTGGAACACAATCTCCGACCAGCTTTGAGAAAAAAACGGCGACACTTTCTGAAGAACGCTCTTCTCATTTTGCATGACAATGCTCGGCCGCATGCAGGCACAAGCTGTGACTGATTTGTTCAAGCGATGGGGCTGGGAAGTGCTTTACCATCCACCATACTCCCCACATCTAAGCCCTTGTGACTATGACTTAATTCCTAAGATGAAGGAACCACTTTGTGGCACTCGCTTCCAAACTATTCCTGAGATTCTTGCAGCAGTAGACCGGTCCATTCAAACTATCAACAAAACAGGCGCTGCTACAGGTATTCTGCGACTTTCACATCATTGGAAACGGGTTGTACACAATGCTAGTGACTATATTGAAGGACTGTAAAACATGGTGACATGAATCACTTTTGTATACCTTGTAAATAAATAGTTGCCACTATTAAAGTTCCAACCCTCGTATTTAATATTAGCAATGTATAAAAAAATTCTCTAAATAAAAAAAAAATGGTGATTTAAAATAGTTTACTGAATTTCATGTAAGCCTTACCTACCAACTTAAGTTGATATACATTAATGAAAAAACTATCTCCGAGCTTTGGAGCTTCAGCTAAATGTTAATCTAGAATGCATGTTTATTTAACTAAGAACTCTCCGTTCTGCTGAGTTTGTCATCATGGACATGATAATTTAATGTTTTACAACTGGCCAGTTAGGTTCATGTAAGCTTTGCCTTTAAGCTTTCATGATCTCAGTAACTGTATTATTGGTATAGAGCAGTGGTTCTCAACCTTTTTAGCTCCATGCCCCCCTTTCACCATTGCTAAGAGATCATTTCCCCCATTTTTCAAAACTCAAAAAACACATGTATAAAGTCATTTAAATTTAGATTATTTTTAACTTGTTTTATAATTTTTACAACAAAGTGAGAAAATGTTGATAGATAACAAAACTTGATTAAAAGTTGTGTTTTATATTCATTGACTATAAATAAATAGATAAATAAAAGGCTGACTGATTTTCCCCTGCCTAAGAACCTCTTGTATACCTTTGAATTGCTGAAGATAAAATATGATGTGAGAAGAATGGCAAAAATTTGGTGCATTTTCAAATTGTATAAATAAAGGAGAAATCGGTAATTTAATTATTTACTACTATAAAATAAAGCCATTTAACTAGGGTTAATCAATTTAAATAACTGCATATTAAAGAAATCTGTACCCTTTTCTCTGTTCAATGTAAAATAATGTGAGAAGTTTATCTGTTGGGTAAATAATACTTTCCTAAGATTTTAAAGAATGTAAATAATATGGCTGATACCATCCCTAGTTACCAGGTGATTAACAGTGCTAAATGCTCTCAGTTCAACCCGGATTCAAACTCACCAAACAGGTTGTCTGCATGGCTAATTTTCCTGATTGTCCCCATGTACTAACGTCAACACCAGCCAGTTTTCCTTACAAAGTCTACCACAAAGACATTCCTTTTAATAACTCTCATGCATTGGCAAATTCAAATAATCTAACCTAACCAGTATGGATGACATGTGTCATCATGCACCTGTATGAGAATTTTCATGTAATTCTATGCTAAAGCGTAAAGAATCAGATTGATTTTACGACAGATTTTATTCAATAGTATTCATTTTCATAATTTACCAACAGAAATGCAAATATGCTGCAATTGAAACAATTAAAACCAAATGCAATCAAAGGGCAAATCTATGTATACTTTAAAATCTACTGCATTTCTTTATAAATGTAATTTGTAATGGTAATAGTTGGGATAAAACTTTAAGAGACAGGATGGTAAATTTTCTGGGTGTTTTGATTTGTTCAAAATGCAGTTGCATTGATTGAAGCATTAAGGTTATCAGAATGAAATCTTAGTGAACTACAGTTTATGCACATTTAAGAATGATTAATAACTATCTGTAAAACAATGTGCATTTTATATTTAAATAATATCATGAATGCTGTAACATACACTTGTTTAAAATTAGATTTCCTCATCAGATTGGCTGTAAATGTACGGACTGGCTGTATTTTAATTGTGTTTTATAATTTAATATTTTAGATGATAGAAACAGAGTGCTTTCAAGAGCTAAATGTTTTCGGACCTGATGGAACTCCAAGTCCAGATTTAATGCTAGATCAGCCTCCACCAGTTGAACCTTCTGGGTGCTTTCCATTCCGTAAGAAGGCTAAAAACTGGTAAGTAATGAGATTTTGTCTAGTCATCCAGAATATTAAAAAAATTATACAAAATGCAACTGTCTGCATTAATTGAAGTCAATCTCTGAAAAGCATAGTCTAGTTATATTTTAGTACTTCAGTTGCTTTTTTGTTTTAAATTATGCTTCCTGTGCTGGTTTTTAAGGTGAGCATCTTAGAATCGAAGGAATATTTTTTAAAAATCAATTCACTAAAGAAATAAAGACATGATGAGAGAAATTTCTTTCAAAATTTTAATTTGGAACTATTCAGGTTTAATTTTTTATTCATTTTATGATGCTGCATGTTTCAGTTCTTTTGAGATGTTTTATTTTCCTATTAGTTTTACATAATCATCATTATTTGGTTAGGTTGTAAAGTTGCGCGCCTCCAACCTGCACGCACCAAAGTGGTGACTGTTGAAACTGGAAATTAGACAGAGTCTTGAGAAGAGTTTAAGTCCCTTTTTATTCAACTTTAGAAATTACAAATGCGTGCTCTTGACGCTCACAAACTATGCCGACCCGGCGGTAAAATAAAAATAAGAAACTAAAAAGAGATAATAACAAGAGACTAACTACGAGGCTCTCTAAACGTAACTAACCTCACCGCGTTCTAAAGTACCACTGATAATTCAGCAAACTCTGAAGATTACGTTGAAAGATTAACAATTTGCCGAGGCAAGCACACAGGCCGAAACGCGTGGTTCTTCAATTTCTAACTAGCCACCTCCACACTCGTGAAGCAAGAAAGCACACCTTCGAACTCGTTTCCTTTCTATTTAACTCTGAATACTTCCGCTGATAATTTGAATCCTTGCGCGTTCTACTAAAATTTACATACCCTGGCATTGGCAGTTCCAGGGGAAAGTAAGGCTTGACAGGAAAGATAGTTTAACTTAAAATAAATGTTAGTTAAAATAAATATAAACCCTACAAGGTAATGTTGGAAGTTACATTGAGGGGGGACCTTTATATATAAATATACTCCTTTCATACTAAGACTTCACTCTGACTTCATCTAGATTCATCCATCTTGAGCTTTATTTGCTTTATATGCATCTCGTATTATGTTTCTGCCACATAAAACGTAAAAATAATTATATGGAATGTAAATTGCATATATGTCTGTGCTTTTATTTTGTTAGATATCTTTCTTTTTCTATATGAATGAGCATTTACTAGCATCTTAAGACCTACTATTGGTGGCTTGCTTGAAATATTTAATTTCCTTATCATAATAAACACAGAAACTGATGCATTTCCATGTGCAGCCTCTTCCACTAATAAACCAACGCTTTTCACATAAGTCAAGTAGTATAAAATCTATTCATGGGCTGAAGAATTGAAATATAAATGTATACTTTGGTGAGGTACTTTTAATGGTTATTTTAAAAATTCGTACATGCAGTTCATTTTACTGTTTATGGTGTTAAAGTTATGCCCCAGAACGGTATGTTGTTATTGATTTTACCACATGAATAGTTGATTGTCATATTTTCGTAGAGCATAAAATACTTCCTCGTGTTTTAAAACTTTTTTATCTGTAAAAAGCTCATGAAATGCTAATTATTTTATTGTAAGTTAATGTTCTGAATATACATATTTCTCCTTCTCCCTCCCTCTGTTGAGAAGAATGTTTGCCCATGAAAATTTTCAGGTGAACAGTATTTCCTCTCTGGCTTCATGTTATTATATCATCTTTCAAATATCTGTTTGTTGAAATTCTAAAGTTGAAGAATTTAAAAGTATTGTTGTTTTCTAAATATGCAGTTTTTTGTTATCAAATCTTCTTTTGTTCTATTATTTACACATAGTTTTTATCCAATGGCAGGCACTTGCCTATTCAGCATTAGTCAATCCTAATGCCAGAAGTGGTGGTGATTTTATTGCGGAGGCACCAAATAGGACGGCCACCATTGCCTCCTATGAAGGGATGGACAGTTACAACTGTGCTGTCTTAGGGATTCGAACCTGGGCCAGTTGGTACTGCAGTAGGCTCTCCTAACCATTATACCATCTAGGCGGCATTTAGTCACAGTATGAAGAATTTTAACTTTGTATCTACTGACCAGTTTCATAAAAGTTGCAGAATGAATTGTTCAGGGAAAGAAGAACATTTACATATATATAGCTATTTGCTTAATAATAATTATTTAAACAAAAATTATCTCACAACACCTTCTCCTAATTTTTATCTTCTTCAAAATTTAAGAATCTAAATCTAGTGTACATTATAGTACTTGTATACTTAATTCCTTCTTAGTCAACTCTCACCAGTGCCTAAATGGTTAAGACCACTGAATACTGGGAGTTCAATCCTGGGTTTTATCCCAGGCAAACATGTTGGCTGCAGAATTGGTTTTCATGATTTTCCCCATGTCTAGCATGAAAACATGTTTGTTTCCTGTAAAAAGCCCTCTATTAAAGATCCCTTCCCTTTGGCAGGTAGCACTCATATGCTTTGTCATATTCAAATAACTTAACATTCTTAGTGAGCAAAATGTTATTAGCTACTTAATTTAATAAAACTTTAAATATGCCAAATAATTCTTACATTTAATGAATTTTATTTACCCAGTGATTTGCTAAACATTTCAGCTACATTATTATCAGAAGTTCCAAGAACTAAAGTAATATTACTAGATTAAGTTACAAGAACTTAAGTAACTAAATAATTGATAAAAAATAATACAACACACAGGCCATAATTCAGATGTCTTCTAACCGGAATGATTTTTTATCTGGACCATGACACAGAAATTTAAAAAAATTTTTTTTTCCATATGTGGAAGAATAGGGATTGATGTTTAAGTAAAAGCAAGAGTACCAAAAAAATCAGCTTTTTATTCTGATTACTTGAGACTTTTTTCGATGGAAAATAGCATTATCCACAGCACTATTGAAACATTTTTACATATTATTGTATTTTCTGTCTTTAAGTGCTTGCTGGCTAGTGAACATTATTTTCATTCTCAACCCTTAGGTGTTTGCGAGGGGCAGCATTTTTTTCTCATCTTGCCGTATAAGCAGTAAAGGAAGCTCAAAGACCCATGCTTGTGAAATGTTTATATATTGTTTCCCTTTGTCTAGCAGAATCCAAAAAGGAAAGAATTAAGATTCTGTTGAACTTTAACAAAGCTAGCATTGGAAATTGTGTTGTGAAATTGTGAACATCCATTTCATTTGAAAAAAAAACTAGATTCAGTATAAAAATGTTATTGCATCAGAGAAGCAAACCAAACTGGTGATGCCTGGCACCAAGGGAATATGGTCCCCCCCCCAAATAAAAAGCTTCAAGTGGTATGCTTTCAGTGGGGGGAAAAAAACATGAAATCTTGCATTTAATAGATTTTGTGATTTTTTACTAATTACATCTTTATTTTCACTATAATATTGTCGTCATCTTTCATAGTGGGAATTCTTTTTTATCTTGTTTATTTTCTGAAATTTCATTTTAATTTGTGTCCCATAAAATTAGTTTTGTATATGTAATGTTCTTTTAATTCATATCTTTCTCCATTTATTGAATATAAGTTCAATAAGCAGAACATTTAAATAAGTTTTTTTCTTTTCCCATTTCTATCTCATAATATATAGCCTTTTATTCCCTAGCCAATGAAAATATACTTTTTACTTTGTTAGTCAAGTCTTTTAATTGGTTGAATTGCTTGAGTATACACAACACTTCCAAAATTTTTCAGTCTTGATAAATTATGTCTTTATTTATTTCATTTTTTTGCTAATGTTATACTTAACTGCTTTTGCTGGTCTACAGTTTAACATGCAAACTAGAGTTCAGAATCTTCTCCCCACATTTCTTTCTCTAATTTGGAGCTTTTCAGGAAGGCTTTTGATTTTACTAGTAATATTTTGTTATTTTTTTCTGTTGTTCCATTTAATTGTGAGCTTTTTATGCTTTCGCAAATGAATTATCTTCCATTATCACACCTTAATTGTGATACTTCTATATTCCCTTTAATGTCTACTTCTTTTACATAATTTTTTATTTCTATCAAATATGCTGCTAAAATATGTATATTCATCAAGGAAAGAGGTCCATCAGCGGCCGAGCGGTAAAGTCACTGAATACTGGTAGTTCGGTCCGAGGTTCAAATCCTGCGAACGGGCTGGCTGCATGGGCGTTTTTGTGGTTTTCCCCATGTGTAACGTGTATACGAGCCAGTTTCCCTTAGAAAGTCCCTCACGAAGGTATCCCTTCCTTTAGGCAGATAGCCCTGGTGTGCTTTGCCATAACTGAATAATCCACTAATCCATCATCAAGGAAAGTTATAGAATATTTCTTATTGCAACATCTGCTACACAAACGTATATATGAATTGTTTCTTAAGATCTCTGAGCAAGTGCTTTTTCAGAATTAAATGGCAGGCTTGTTAGTCTGGCTTACAAATGTGTTTCACATATGAATCATCCTTTAGACAATCATCAGAACTGTTCATATCATTAACTAATAAAACAAGTTTCTCTGCATTTTAATAAGCAAGATGTCCTAGTCTCCTGTTCTGTAATGAAACTTTAGATGCCTTCACTTCAGCTAAAGGACTTGCTTTCCTAAATTTATCATCAGTAGCTGTACATGTTCCATATTTTTACCTTCTTTTTTAATTTCTAGTTTATAATAAAACATTTTAACCTCATCTCTAATATTAGTTATAGCACATGCAAATAATAATTTCTAATTCTGAAATATATGACATCATTCAAAGTACATTTATTAGTTTCTTCTGTACTTCTTTTCTTACTTATAGATCAAGATGTTTTAGCTAAAGAAAGTAATAAAATTTGTGACATATCTCAAATAATTGTATATGGCAGAAATATCACAGATTTTCTTTAACACTGTGCACATCAATAAAAATAATTATTATTCAAAATCTCTTTCATAAAAAACTAGCATGTGTAATTTTTCCTCTCCCTGTACCTCGAATAAATATGTCCATATCAGAATCTGTACAGCTATTTATCACTTTAAATTCTGCA